AAATTTAAATCAAAAAGTAGTTTTAAAACTAAAGCGAAATTTAAAAACCAAAACTAAACACTAAATTAACAAAATCAATGCAAAATTTGTGTAACGCTGCCTTGCAGTTGAGCGTTTCGAAAGCAGTTATTTTTGATCAGTTTTGATTGAGACTTTATTAATCGAGACGTGATTGTGTGAATTGGAAGATTATAAACTCATTTTGTTTTGCTAAAATCAAACAGCATTGATTATTAATTGCAGAATTAGCTGAATTTTAATTAACTTAACAAATTTATATATGAACTTATGTAATCCTACCATAATATCTATAATGGCTAAGTGGTTGTTACTCGTAATCTTGAGTTGTTCATTGAATCATTGTCATTTCTTTGAAGTATATACATATATGCATTCAGTATATATATATATATATATAGAGCATATATTTAAACGTAGTACATAAATACATGCGTATATATGTATATGTTTATTTGCTTAAGTACTAACTAAAATCATATGTATCTCATGCCGTAGCTATGTACTATTATAGTGTCGTATCCTTTCATGCATTCCTCACTCATCGATTTAGTTTAGAGCATTGCCACATTTTCARTATGTTCATGTAACTATGGATTCATTAGCGCTGCTTTCTGCATTGTAATTAGCAATACTGTGGAGTTCATCGCCGCTAGTTAAGATAGTTTTGTGCAAATACAAATTAATTGATTACAGTTAATAATAGACGGAGCTTAATTGTAGGTTAAGTTGTTGGAGAGAGACACCGCGTCTCTAATATATTTGGGTTGAGATTTTCATATGAAACTCCGTTTAATTTAGTTTAATTTCGCTGCTTTACTCAATTTGTGCAATTCTTCTTAAAAGACTTTTTGAAAATTATTCCAATTTCAACTAAATTTTTGTTAGCCTGTATAATTTTCACAGTCGTCAGGATCTGTGATTCAATTATGACTTCTTCACGCCACATCTTGAACACATTCCTCAAGGTTTTCCTTTAAAATTATTTGATCACTTTTGTCTAGAATCTGGAGGGCCTTCTCGTAAGTTCTGTGTGGTTTTTGTACGAAGGAAAACGGAACTGAAGTTTCTGCTTCGGTATTTCGGAATACATCCTTCAAGATTTTTCTTCAAAATAATGTMATAAGTTTTGTTTAGAATCTGGTGAGCTTCTCTGAAGATTGGTGTCTTTTTTGTGCGTATTCCTTCATGTTTCTTTGCAACATAGCATTAAGCTTCAAGTCCAATCTTTATCATTGCGCCTTAGATGTGAACTTTCTGATTTTTTATAATCTAAAAGGTTTACAAAGGCTATTACATATCCATTTAGTCCATATAGTGAGCAATTTTTTTGCTGGAAAAAGGACGGAGACTGCGATGGTTCGGTTTCTTTTCCAAAAAAATTTCTGTTTATCCAAACATTTTCTAGTTAAGATTGCTCAAAATTTGGAAACTTAAGWTCCATTTGACGATTTGAAAGATTTGTAAAATCTATATTTCTGAATCGCGATTCATTATAGGAGCTCCGCTTCCCCCTTTTTGTCATAATTTGTTCGACCATTTACCAGAACTTGAGTAAGATAAGTGATTTCGTTCCGACTACCTATGAACCTCTCAAATTCTCACATTTCTTTTTGAGAAATGCTTAACTTCTCGGTWTATGAAACGAAAATTCGAGGCTATGCCTGAAAAGTTCCACTCAAGAGCGTCTAAAACTTCTGCAGCGTAAAGAAAATTARGTGAAGTTCTAACATTGTTTCATGAGAGATTCTAAACCTTCTAGGAAATAAAAAGTTAAGTTCTAACATTGCTTCTTGAATTATTGACTTTCCGCGGAATAATAATATTGAGGTTAAGTTTTAACACTATTTCTTGAGAGATTCCCGATTTTCTGTAGAACAAAAAAAAAAAAAAAGAAATAGATTAAATCCTAACATTGCTTCTTAAGATATTCTCAACCTTCTACGAATTAAAAATAGTTATAGTTATGTTCTAGCATTGCTCTAAAGTATTAAGGTTAAATTCTAATAGTTCCTTTTGAGCGATGCTAAGCCTTGTAGGGAATAAACGATTTTAAGTTAACCTCCATGTTGCTACATCAATCAACTTAAAAGCCAATACCTGGAGTTAGATGAATTAATCTCCGAAGAACTCTATCTCTGCTCGAGTTCTGCACAGCAACAAGCTCTATTTGCTAATGCTTGATAAAGATTTGGGTGCAATTATAGTATGCTTTAATAGATTTTCACTATAATCCGGTGTCATGTTCCACAGTTCTTGCTAAACTCATTTGAATATTTACCAYCCAWAAAGCGCTTGATTTTTAATACGCCRAATAAACTGAGCGCCATTAAAGATCACGCCACTTATGTATGCATAATTAATTAATCAACGCTTTGTCATTACTTGATTAATCATTATATGTGTATTTTTTCTTTTATTTTCAACATTTTCAGGTATCTTACATTGTAAAGAAATACGTTAGTATAACTCCATGTAACTTAACTTTCGCTTTGTCTCCACTTTTGTTGTAAATTTTCCTTTTCTGTGTAATCGTATTTTGTGTTTCCGTAATCATTCCTGAGTTTTTTTTTTTCACCTATGCGAAAATATTCCATTACGCAACCTTTTTTGAACCTACCATGAAAAGGAACTGTGTCATTGCGGTTTAGTATACACATTAGTAAACTACTATTATCTTTCTTTGTGCTTAATTTTCTAATATCATAACTATGTCTTCAGTTCCTTTGTTGTATTAACTAGTAATCTGGCATGTTAATTACTTGATCTCCAACTGTTTCATACACCCCATTTAAACATAAGCTATAGTAAGCACTTTTCCGATGTGATCAAAAGCGCGAGGTCGTGGCATTTAGGTATTAGTTATAATAAAGGTGCGCTAAAAAATTACTTATATTTTAAAGATGGTGGCTTTTTTATACATTTTGGTTAGGATTTTGTAAATAGCTCAGATAGTGTCTTCGAAAAATTTTCAAAACCACTTTAATTCCTCAAAAACTTCTGAATATGGAATTTTAGCAGATAATTTTATTTTCACATTCAGTATCTCCCTAGTACATACATATAAAAACTTTTAATTTCCAAATTTTCGAGTATAATTTTCTTTTTGTGAATTCAAGGAAGTACTGAATACACATGGGAAAATTATGTATTTCGAAATTTTTGTATATAATTTTTTTCGTAGTCTCAGTACTTCCCTAATAGAAATACAAAAAATGCTGAATTTCGCAATTTTCGAATATAACTTTTCTCGAGTATTTAGTACCTCTCCAANAATAAACTGAGCGCCATTAAAGATCACGCCACTTATGTATGCATAATTAATTAATCAACGCTTTGTCATTACTTGATTAATCATTATATGTGTATTTTTTCTTTTATTTTCAACATTTTCAGGTATCTTACATTGTAAAGAAATACGTTAGTATAACTCCATGTAACTTAACTTTCGCTTTGTCTCCACTTTTGTTGTAAATTTTCCTTTTCTGTGTAATCGTATTTTGTGTTTCCGTAATCATTCCTGAG